GAAAACACACATTGCAAAAATGGTTCCCTGTTTTGCATGTTTAGATTCATCCCAAAATTAAAATAAATTGAAGTTTAACGTTTACAACGGCAATGGAGTTACTTTCCAGACAGCTTTCAGAGATCTGCCAAACATTAAATAATAACTGTGTGACAAGATGCATTTACGAAGGTCCGTTACCTCAATCCTGGTCTTATTCTCCATGCAAAAAGGAGGATAAAAAACTATCAAACAGAAAACTTTTGCTGGTTTTCTCATTTTTTGTCTCATTTTCCACGAGCTACAGTCAACTCGGCTACGTCTCGTTGACTATTTGCTCAAACTCGGGCTCATAATCTAATTGCTAAGGTGTCTCGATACAGTTTTTTCTGGGCTACGCCAAACATTTTCAATCAGCTTATAACCAGTCTGCTCTTAATTGGATTGATATGAAAATTGCACCAAAAATTGGAAATGGATTGAAATTTGGTATTAATAATAATGATGTTCTTTACCAATTGGTGGAGCTCCCAAAATGGAGGTAGGATCCCTCTCGATAAAAATGAAATAATATATGGCGTGACAGACAACTTCGCTCGTCATCTTGGCTTAAACCTCTGCTTGATTATAGCCAAATGTTATTTATATACTGCCTCAAGAAAAGAAGAAGAGTTCCCTTTCGATGCCCTCTTAGCGATTTTGACAAACAAAATTAAGATTGAGAAACATAAATCTAAATCACAAATCAATATGTGAGAAATTCTCCTATTGTAGCTAATCCCCTACATGAAAGTTATATAATGTAACATATTAACAAATTGTAAATAATGTTAGTATTGTAAGTTTTGCTGGTATTGTTAAATTGTAAGTTACGTTAACATTGTAAGTAGAATAGGCTTTTCTTTCGTATCTAATGTAATGTTGTTGCAATAAATTAATATAGAGAAAAATAATAATAATAATAATAATAATTATATATAAAATAATAATGTTTGTTAGTGGCTTATAGAAAATTACAACTGTAAAAATTCTTGAGACAATATATATGTCAGGGAAATACTAACTTACAAACGAATTATAAATTACACTCATTCTTTACAACCCTTATAAATTTGTCTATTAACATTTGTCGAAAAAACTTAAATAAGAATAGTAAAATGATAATGTGCATGCACACAACTAATTCCAAAACCGCACTTTACAGTTCAGCTGTAAAGTGTAATCTTTCAAAATTAAGGATCTACCAAAACTGCATGAAACACTTACCTGGAAAAAATATAAAAGTCGTTTCAGTGGCATTTCCATAGGGGTTACTTGCTTCACATTTGTACTTTCCAAGGTCGCCTACCTTGACGTTAAGTATAACCCATGTTTTACTGAACCATTTCTTATCTGTGCTGACATGAGTCCAAGAAACATGTGGAGTTGGTGTCCCAGATACATTACAGTACAGAGTGACATTTCCACCATTTTTTACGTCAGTCTTGTTCTTCAAAGGTTCAATTGATGTCGGGACTATAAACACAAGATTACAGAAATCTCAAATAGGCCATTTCTGGACTGCATCATAAATGCTTTGTTTCTCAAAGAGATGCACCTGAAGGTAATCGTGGTAGTTGTATTCTTCAAAACAAATATCTAGTCGAAGATGAGAAAAACAAATTCCATGATTGCCTGCAGGCGCATCTTACAGAGGGAGCTGGCCATTGTACTTACACTCCAACACAACTTCGGAGAACAAGTAAACTGATACATACATTATTAATATTTCTTCTACTTGTACTAGGAACTACCTGGTCTAGCTTCCATAATTCACCACACACACACGTACAAAAAAAAAATAATAATAATAATAATAAGAAGAAATAAAATAAGAAAAAAACTGCGTACACTACAATTAACACTAATTACCATTCGTGCTGTAAGTATTACAGTGTACATGTAAGCATTGTAACGTAGATATTGTTAAAAAAAAAAAGAAGACGGAAAAAACCAACTACCAATTACGTAGTCAAATTACTAATAAGCAAATCAGAAGCTGTGTCTTCTGTCCTGCTATTCTGCGATATCAAGTCACTGACCTAATATGGCTATGATACCATGGCCACTCGGCCGAATTTAGGTATGGTAAATACCTAATCATACATTTTTTGGTACGTTTCCGTACAATTAGTTTCAGCCAAAGGAAATGCAATCATTACTAGTACATGAATATATAAGTAAGAAAGGGAGGCAATGTTCAGATCCCTTGCATACATGAAAAACAATTTCCTAAAAGGTTTACCTGAGCTTTTAGAATTAAATAAACATAAGAGGAAACATCTAACACCTAGGTCTTCAAACCTCTCTCTAGTAGGCAGTCTAATTCACTGTACATGTACATGTAACATTTTTGAGATGTAAACATCAATTTTGTCCATTCTTGTAAAGCAGGGACCCAAAATGCTTCGTTCGTAACTTATTCTTCACAATTTAAGACAACTGTAGTTTTCTTCACAGTACAGGGTCTCGAATTAAACCACCTTCCAACTCGACTTTAACCTCAAAATACACATCCCACTCATTACATGAGACTAGAAGAAAATGCGACTCATGGTCGTTAAACATCCATACAAGCGAGACAACGTTATGCGACCTACTTACTTAGTTCAAGTAAAAACTGACATGGGCATAGACATAACAGTTTTACTTTATTTTATTTGGTCGCACACTTAGCTATGGTGATGGTGCGTGCCATATATTTGATAAGCAGTCTCCAGGATTTACCAGCTAGTTTACAGGTCCGCCAAAAAAACAAAATACCAAAGTAAAAATGTACACATTTGGGAATAAATATTCAACTAAGCTAACTAAGATTATATAACTACTATAAAATACCTAAAGTAAACGATAACAAAATGTCCTCCTTATCGGTACATGTTAGAGCTATGAATCAATGATATCAACATTCCCACACTCACAATGCACAGTGATAGTGACATCTTCAGTCACGGTACTTCCAATACCATTGTCTGCAGTACATCTGTACAGCCCCTCGTTCTCTTTACCGGTGATTGTCAAAGGGAAGGACACAGGACTGTTGTCAGAAACTTTTGTCCAGGTAATGTTTGGTGTTGGATAACCATCTGCTGTGCAGTTCAGACTCACACTGTCACCTTTAACCAGTGTCTTGTTATCAGAAATGGATGTAATTTCTGGCATATCTTTGGGAGGAGAAAAGAATGTTCACAATCATGAAAACGATAATAAAATAGCAAAGGCTATGACATAACCATATGGTAGACACAAACTCTTTCTAATAAATAATAAAAGCAAAAGTTAGGAAGCTACAAAGACTACAAGCTTGAGTACAGTCACTGTGAGGCAGGATAAAAAAACTGAACTAGTGTTCCTCTGTAAACATGAAAGCTGAGCCTAAAAGGAAATTTCGTTTCAATGTCTACATCATTAGTTCATGGTCTGGTACCTTGACCAAGTCATTTTCTCATCAACCTGTTTGTACACTGTACCATGATACTGTCGTCAACAAACATAAAGGATTAGGAATGTGTAACACCTGTGTAGCACATTCCTAATAAATCTATCTCACAGACAAAGTTATTATAATTATTTTATACCTGTTTAAGCTCACATTTTGGTTACAAACTGTATCCTCAACAACTAAGCAATTTTGTGCATGTTAGTGTGGGGTTACTTTAATTAATGCAGAATTTCTGTTGCTGACCAGCTCATAGCACTCGTGACAAAGAAAGACACTGATTGTCAGTACAGATAATTTACATGACATGTAATGGTTAACTTACACTGTACAAAAATCCTTGCCGTCTCTGATGCATTGCCACACTTATTATTGGCTTCACACC